TATATATATTACAGTAAGAGAAAATCAACGTGGTGTTAAAGTCAATTTTCAGTAGTACTAATTATCAATAACTTGATTACTATTATCAATTATAGTAATATTACAGCTTATCTTTGAAAATCTTGTTAATGACCAGCACTTTAAGAATAATTCAAGATCAGCTTAAACAGTTTCACTTTCAAGATCACTTAGATCAGTCAGTAAGAGTAGCACTGTCTACCATAAGATAGCACAAGTTCTACAATCTGAGCATGCGCAAATCACACCCCTTATAGCCACGCCCAATTCAATAATTATAACAATTCACAATTATTAGTTAGTATTATATCACAAATACAAATTATAGATGATATACAACACAGTAAGACTTGGGCAGATAAGAAGAGTGTTCTTTTAATTGCTGAAGGTTACCTGTATAAAACATCACGCATCATAACTAAAGAAAACAATAATTTTACCTACCTTGACTCTTTCATTTTTAAATTTTACATCCGATTAATTAGAACTGCTGATCTGAGCATGCGCGACCACACCCAAATATTGGAGCACATGCTTCTTTAATTAACAAAATGGCGGCATGTAGCTAAGATGGTATAATCCAGCAGTCATAGTATCACTTTATCCTTTCTTGAAGATTGGTTTGATGGGACATGGACCTGCGCATAGACTTTTGGAGTAGATTGGTGTAAGAATTATCTTTGTAGCATCAACTGATACCAAGATACACACCGACAACTGGATTGACAGGACTTGATGATGAAGATGATGATGATGATGATGATGATGATGATGAAGATGAAAAAAGGTGGCTGAACAAAACGGCCGGAACGCCGATTTTTGAATTTCCTCTTAGACAGGGCCTAGAGCCACGCTAGTGGTACCATTGGAGTCCTCTGGTCAAGATAAGGTCCTCTATAAAGTCTGGTAAGCATAGGAGCTCGTTTTCCCGGTATAGCAAGGCTGCAAAAGTCGTGGCAGCCATTTTGTTTGGGGGTGAATCCTACTTAGTAACGCTACCGCGTTACTAATGGATTTTTTACAATATTTTAAAGTTGCTCAAAAAAATGACAAGGAGAGATTTTTTCATTTTTATAATTTTTTCTAATATTATACATTATACTAGATGTTCCTATGTTTTGTAAAAAGTTTGAACTAATTCCAATCAAACTTAGATTTTTTAACAAATTTTTAAAGTTGCTAAAAATTTGGGTTAAAGTCTAGTATAGGGCTCCTGTACCCCGTCATTGGTCAAATTTCACCTAAATTGAAAAGGAGAGACTTCCTCAATTTTATTACATTTTCTGATACTTATGTTGTGCAGAATGTTTAAGCTGATTTCACTCTAGTTTGGACTTTTTTTTAATTTTTAAAGTTACTCCAAAATTAGCCAAATTTTGCCAAAATTATTTCAAAGAGAATTCACAATTTTTATAATTTTTCTGATACATTATACATGTTATTATGTTGCATAAAAAGTTTGAGCTGACTCTGATCAAAGCTTGATTTTTTATGGATTTTTTTATTTTTTAAAGTTACTCAAAA